AGCTGGCTGCTCCCCCGGCCCGAGCCCTTGGCCGCCTGGCCGGGCGCGCCGGGGTACCTCAGGCTGCTGGTTTGTTTCTGGAAGTGACAGCGGAAGCAGCTGTCGGTGTCCAGTTTTAGGACGTGAAACTCTCTGCGCGGGTTCTGGTTACTCACAAGGAAATGGCCCTGTGTGAGGCATGGAGGTACTGCAGGCTTCAGCCTCGCTGCCCTGTAGTGCCCGTGCTGATTTGGCAGCAAGTTTTTCTGTGGTGTTAGGCTTCCTGTGTGCTCACGCATTTTTATTTCAAAACAGCAGGCCTGTTTGCTGGACTCTCAGAGGGTGTGCCTGATAAGGAAGACAACACTTATCTGTGTTGTGCAACTGACATACAGATTTAGCCTTGTAGATGAACTCATCATGCTTTTAAACGAACTTTGGAATTATTTTTGTCACTTTCTTATTATACTGATAGTCCAAATAATCTTAATTTTCCAGTAATTGAGTATTCACTCTCTGTGTTTCAACTGTGTTAGTGTAATTTGCAGTGTTTAAACCCCTGGATTTTTGGTCTCTGGCATCATATGGAGGGTGATATTTTTAAGCAGATGTTTTTGTTCGTGTTTTCTTATTTGTCTTAACTAAAACCAGTAGTTGCCAAATACGTACAAGCTCAGTGTGGTTGGCTGTTGCAATGTTCTGCTTAACGAGCTCTTATCAAGGGACTGAAATACAAAGTAATATGCAAACAATTAGTGAAAATAATTCTTTTTATTACATCTGAGTATTCTTTTTTATTACATCTGAGTATTTTCTATCAGGATCCCCCCCGACTTCTGGGGGATTACTGTAATGTAGTAAAATAGAACTGAAATAAAGCCTACAGTTCCTTCTAGTGTATGCAAAGCTATTGGCAATATCTCTTCTTTCTTTTTTTTTTTTTTTGTTTGGGTTTTTTTAATGGGAATTCAGTGTTCTCGATGAGCCATGCTGTATGTAAACAGTGTGAGGCCCTGGCTGGGATGTTTTGGAGTAACCGTAGAATACAGTGAAACATAGACCAGTATTTTTAGTCTTATTAACATTCAATGCTGTATCTTATGGAAACTGTTGAATGCCGCATGTATTTCTGTATGCTTGTTAATAGAATCTGTGTTTTCTTGTGTTCAATTTTGTTAGCCATATGGACTTCTAAATTATCCTTTAGAGAAACTGATGGGAGAAGAGGAGGGAACGCTGAAGATATAGTATAATACTTCTGCAGAGGGTTACATGGTGGTGGTAAATACCGTGAAAGAACTGGACTGTGGCCTGAGAGGTGCCGCTCAATCCACAAGAGCTGTTTTCGGTCTCAAGACCATCTTTTTGCTCGGTGTTAAGCACTGTGATGCTCTATGTCCAGAAATTCTTGCAATACTGGTGAATTTCCAGATGTAGTTGATGTGTCATAGAAACTTCATTTTCATAATGGCTTTAAGGGCTTTTCATATGTATTTACTGGAGGTCAGCCTTTGTTTGGATAGGCTGTTCTCCCTCTTGCAGTGGAAGGCCATCTGTCCTTGTGGGAAGGACTGCACGATGGACCTGTTGTAGCCACGCGGTGTGTCTCACGACTACCAAACTTAGAGCAAATGCCCAGGTTCTGTGGAGGGGCAATGACCAACCAGCCAACCTCCTGGGAACATTAGACTTTACTAGTTGTCCTGAAAATAATGGACTTCACTAGCTGTCCTGTGCTTGCATAGTAAGTCTTGTGCTTCTGTGAGAGCTGCACAACTGGATTGTGTGTGGGCCATGAGGGACTGTGAGAAAGATAATAGCAGAAAGTGGGCTGCTGGGTTGTATAACCATGCTCTGAAGCCTACTCTGTTGGTGCGCCCAAATCCTGCCTGGTGTCTGATCTGGGGGTGGGGTGCAAGCTGAATTGGGTAGCCTAGTGGGCTGCACGCAGGTGGAGGATTACTGTTGTAAAATACGCTGTTTTGCTGCTCCCTGAAATGTGACTTTTGTAGCTCACTTCTTGTGGTGGACCTTCTAATGGCAGGTGGCAATAGCGTTAGCTTCCTTTATGCTGCTGTGTTTTATAGAGTAATGGCTTCTCATGAGGGCAGTTTTACTTCTTTTTAAGAAGTATGTATGCATGTAAAGTCAGCTGAAAATCAAGAAGGATGGCCACCTGTAAAAATAGCCTTGAATAAAGAGGGATGACCTATTGTTCTTGCCATTCCCAACTCCAAAGCAGATCATGAGCACATACACCAGAAGACAGTAATGCGAGTTGGGTAATAGTTTGATTTGCCTTTCCTGGAACATGTTTCAAGTTCCAAAAATAAAGGATGAGTCTTAAGCTTAAAAAAAAAAAAGGACCACCAACAACAAACCCCCTGAATTTTACTGTAGCTGTGGAAATAGAGAATAAGTTTCTATTAACTGTAAAGTAAACATTAATTGTTCTGATTATTGAAAACACTTTTCAAAAGTAGACCTTGCGGCTTTGTAGAGGAAGAAACCTTAGAATGGACTAAATAATTCTGGTGCGTATTTTAAAAAAGATACTAAAAACAGAGAGTCTTTACATAGTAAAGAGCTTGAACAGATGTCTTTTGTGTATGAATTACAGGAGTTGTAGGCCTTATGGACAGAGCGCATGACTGCTTTATGCTCATGGTTACGGCTTCTGAGTCAGCTAGCAGCAGTAGTTTCTCAGATTTGTAGACTAAATGTCTTCTTTTTGTTTGTAGATATGGCTCGTGGACAGCAGAAGATTCAGTCGCAGCAGAAAAATGCCAAAAAGCAAGCTGAGCAAAAAAAGAAACAAGGACATGATCAGAAGGCTGCAGCCAAGGCTGCCTTGATATATACCTGCACTGTCTGTAGGGTAAGAGGATCTGAAGACAAAATATTATTGTAGGCAGGCCTGTCTTCCAGCCTAGAGCAGAATTTTTAGAAGATTATATAGTGGAAACTAAAATACTTCTTAAGTGGCTGTCTAGCTTGTTGCTATAAGCATTTACATCTGTTATGTGACTTGCTACAGATTACTCAGCTGTACTGATAACTGAGATATGAGAAAATCTGAGAGGTCATGTACAGCTCTGTTTTGGGTAGTTATCTTGCTTTTTGAATTGCAGGGGTCTGCATGTGCTGTTAGTATGACATATCAAATGTAAAAAGTGTGAGATCACTTCCTGTTTAATCTCCAAAGGAAACATCTTTTCTTTATGGTAGAATTTGCCTCTCAGAATCACTGGTTATTGATGTTAAGGTAGAGAGGAAAAGTGGTGGTGCGGGAAGCTTTAGTGCAACTTTGATACACAGTAACTTCTACTAGAATAAATTACTTTACAAGAGAAAAGAAACATGAGCACTGATCAGATTATACTTTCCTTCTGGCTGGTCTTCCTGAATGTGCTCGTTTTGGAGCTGAAGGATAAACTTGCCATTTTCACTTAAATGGTCAGTCCCACAATAGATTTGTCACTTTGAACGTCTTAAATAAGATTCCGAATTAAGGGCTGCTCACTTAAGTACTTGTAACAGCTCCTCTTCTTGTGAAATCAGGCTGTAGCACCAATCACTTTGGGCAGTTGATGCCTGCAACTGTGTAGTAGCAATAGTCTGAGATAGCTTGTGCCAAGTAGAGAACCAGTCTGTGCCACGTAACTCTTTGGCCTATTGATAAACAAAAGAAATAGCTTTTGTAAAGATTTGGTTCTGAAAAGGATATACATCTGTCTTTTAGGTGTTGAAAAAGAAAATGGTAAGGAGTTAGGTTTTCTACCCAACCAGCATGTGAAGTGTAAGATCTGCAGGGAGGTTTCTAGCAAGAATAATACTGTTGATGAACATGCCAAAGCAGTGCGATGCTAGTGCTTAAAAGCACCTCTCTGAAAATCTGAGGTTAAATGTTCTCTCTTAATCTGCAGCTAAACTAGTGGTCCTTCTGTCATTAGAGCAGTGTCACTGAGGAGACAATTTCCTTCAGGAAAAAAGAAAATAAAACATAGGGGGGAACAGGTTTTGTAGTATTATTTAACTCTTGCACTGTGCATAAAGTTAAATGTCTCTCTTTAATCAGACACAAATGCCGGATCCCAAGACCTTCAAACAGCACTTTGAAAGCAAGCATCCTAAGACTCCACTTCCTCCAGAATTGGCTGATGTTCAGGCGTAAAGTTGTCTACAGGTCATTACCTTAATTTCTAAATTATTGTCTAAGAAAGGTATATTATGAATCAGGTTTTTTTACCACCACCAACTGGGACTTAAAACTTGCTTCGTTTTCTTTAATATGAAAACTAACTATAGGTTAAAGTTATAGCCCTGAACTGTTACACAGGAGAAGCAAGCTAATTACTTCTGTAGGTGAAAGGGCTGTGGCATTTCACTGTACGTGGAGGTTGTTTTAAAAGGGATTAATGCTATTGCAAATGGTCATCCTTAGAGTTGTAGGAATACTTTATTATTTGGTTCTTGCTTTGAAATGTTAGTTTTGCTTTGAACAAAATATGTATAATAAATACAATCTGTTGCTACAAAACATGTGATGGAAATAGTTGTTTAGTATATTTCAAACAATTGAGCCTTTTTGTTCCTGAAACTATGCAAGTGAAGCTATGCAAGTGAATGCAGTTTTTTCTGCATTCAAATATAAAACTTAACCTCTGTGTTTACTATAGAAGAGATTTCCCAATAGCCAGTTGTTAGGCTGTAACTGAAAGTGGTTATAATAAAAGGCTGAAATGAGGTAAAAAGCAGTATTACGGTATTTCATCCACCTAAAGGTAAACTGCATTGTGTAACAGTTCAGCTTAACTGAGTTATTCTTGTTTTTTATAGGTGAAATCATGGCACCTAGTGACTCTTCTACTGTCAGACCTTACATAACAAACCTGCAGCTGCTTTTCTAAAACTGTTGATCAGCAAAAATGAAGGGGCTACAGAAACATTCATATTTTTATGCCGTTCCCTCTTGGGCTTCATGCAAAGACAATTCTATGTAAATGTACAGTTGTGCCCTGTTTGGAAATCCTGAAAAATCAGTCCATACTTGTTATAAAAAATTTTTTACAATTGTAATTATATTGATGTTCATATTGTGTAAAATAACTCATTTAATAAAGTAGTACTTTGATTTTACAATATCACAGATTAAATCCTTGTAGAAGTTCTGTTTCAACTTTCTGCATTATCTGCCTTATAAAATAATAAAAAAGACAAAGTGGAATTTTCCCCATCCTGCCAAAACGTGAGCAGTATCATTCCACTGGAAGTAATGTACATTACAGTAAATTAATCTTAAGTGAAGAAGGAAGCTGCTCAGATTTTACTGTTTGGTGCGCTGCCTGCTTGAGCCCAGTCACTAGCAGTCAAGTTGTTGGCTCAAGGCGCAGCAGGCTCCCTAGAAGCTGCATGAGAATCGTGAGACTTCCTTCTACATTTTTGTCCTGTGTATTGGAGTCTAATACTGCAAGCCATTTCGAATGGGATTCCTTTACTGTGAGGGATCATGTTCCTTGAAGTCATGCACTGGAGAGACTCGTTATGCTTGTTGTCCTTTATATTTGGTAGATGGCTGAGGAGGCTGAGAGGTGGCAGGATTGAATGCTTCTAGGTATGCTGGCTTGAAAAATGCTCGCAAATATTAGGTTAAAGCAACTCTGCTCTTAGTTGAAAAATTGATTTGAAAAGGTTTTTTTAATAATATTTTGAGCAGTCAACCACACATGCTCCCCCTCAAATGCATCTGGTTATTTCAGTAGCAACTCTTCAAGAAATACGTAAAATAGCCAGCCATTAATAACCTTTCTTCACAACCAGCTTAAAATAAGCCTGGTGGAAAAGAGCCAAAGTAACTAAAATAATATGGCTACTTTAAGAAATCGGATGTGATTAAAGTTGCATTGACAAGAAAAAGCTGGATAATAACTCTCTGGCCAAGAACATTTGAGCAGCTAAACATAATTACCCTTAAAGTGTTCTGGGCTCAGTTCTAATCCCAGATGCACAGCACAGACGTAGTGGAGAAACATCTGAATTGTGCTAGAAGGTCTGCTATACAAAATCCCATCTTTGGCATTTGGAGGGGGCTTATTTAAGAGCTTTAGTTTTGACCTTGTGGTAAGAAGCAATATTAGAATTGCTGTGGTTTGCTGAGGTTACAACGGATGTAAAAATTCTGGCAGTCCAAGTAACCCTTGCTATGCAGCAGGACTGTACAGCTGACCTTCAGATGGCTTCCTAAAATCTAGGACCATAGTCTCAAAGACTCATTCACTTAAAAGAATGCACTTGGTATTTTATTATATAAAGCCTTTGTCTTTGTCCACTCATTTGCTCTTTATTGAACTACTTCTGTGAGACTAGCTTCCTGTCCTCTTTGCTGTGACAGTATCTCTGTAAATACTTACTTTGGCATAAAGTTTCTCTGTACGATAGTCACTCCAGGATAAACTGTATACCACTTAACTTTTATAGATAATGTTGTTCTCTGAGAGTAATCCTCTACTGCACTTGTACACCTGACATCAGAATGTAACGCTTCATTTATTTTTCTTCGATGTTATCAATACATATATCCTGACAAACTGGCTCCCACAAGGCAAGAAATGTGCTCTCGACCTTTGTGCTGTATGGGGGAGAGGTACTTAAATGTTCTCATGCTGTAGTTTGTCTAAAAATACGCTGAGTGCAAATGGATAAAGATGTTTCTTGCACTGATTGGTATTTGGTAATCTGGTTTTACTTTGGAAAATGTTCTGGGATGTATCCCTATAGCTTGGTCCTGAGCTGAAGTATATGTTCTATTCCTTCAATTCAAATTGTGTAGCACTAAATAAAAAGATTTTGTTTCATAATCAATCTCTCTTAATGAGCACTGAAGAGCTGGAAAGCTGCATCAGTAGTGGGATGGTTAACTTCAGTTAGAATTGTATTTTCAAAACTTTATGATGCTCAAGTTGAAAATACCCTATGAAATTATGGGTTTTTTTATGTATTAGAAGGCAAGGGTGATCCTCAGTTTGATGACTAGCTGCAGTAGCTGCAATCTCAATTACAGAAATAAAGGAGAGCTATGACTGAATTGTTATAAATGCTTTATAAGTATAGGGGGAATGCTATACTAAATGTGGGAATCGTCCTCATTTAGAGTATCTGCAATACCCCTTGTACCTAAAAGGTCAGAGGAAGGACTAGGAGTTCTCCGTCACCTCTTCCTGATCTGAAGGATGGCACCCTGTTACCTGGCTAAAGACACAGTTGTGCATTGTAATGTGTCTGATTAAAGAGAATTAAAAACCTAAAATGTAAAATGTCATATTTCCTGCCTGCTTTTAAAAACAAGTATTATTGCACTTACAAAATTAATTTCCCGGCTGTGGACAGTCCTGGAGCTTGAAGCTGTCTATCTTTACAAGAAAGAAAAATAGGCATGGGAAGTTTCCCATGTTCTCTTAAGAAAGATCATCTTTGTGCAGGGACAGCATTTAGGTAAAGGGTTCTTACGTTGTCAGCATAGGCATCAGCTGTCATGGATGCTTGTGGAGCAACTTTAAAAAGTGATTACGGATTTTCAGAAGCCCACATCTCTTCTGGGAATCTCTTTAAATGGCATCTGAAATAACATTTTAAGCATGGCTTAAAATGTTTTGGAAAAAAGTCTCGCTTTAGATCCCAGAGTAAAAGTTAGCACATGCGATTATGATGAGGCCATCTCAGGGACTACTGAGTAATCAAGAACAGTTTTGCAATTTGTGTTACTCAGACTTGCTTAGGCTAGTTTCTGTACCTCTGCTGTACTTATCTCTAAGGGTTTCTGGTTTCTTGCTATCAAAAAGCTGTGTGACAAATCTGAAAGAGAAGTTGAAGACGGTTGCTATGTAGCCTTAAGGAAATACTTGGCTTTCTGCAGTGCTCTTGAAACGTCCGTGGAGACCACCCCTTTTGGTTATTTGCTGTTGAGCTGAAAAACACCTCAGCTCAAGTAAAGCTAACGACCAGGGGCTGTTTGCAAACCACGCAGTAATGAAGGAATTTGTAGCATTTTTGTAAACTATATTGAACTGTTTTCCCATCTTGATAAGAAGAGCTAATAGCTGGTATTTCTTTTATCATCAAATACTGATAGGCTTGAGGTCTGTTTTGTTTCCCGTCTTCTCAGAAACAAGATGGGGAGTATTTGGCTTTAATAAGAGTGTGGTCTTCCCAACTCGATTAGTCCTGCAGAATCCATAAACAAAGTAAAGGTGAGCTTGTATTTCTGTCTACTCAGCCCCATTCTGCTGTGTGTAATTTTGGGGCCTTTGATTTACCTACTTAGAACCTTACAGGTTTTGCAGTGGACTTTGAATTCAGCCCAAAAACTCAGCTTTGGACTGGTATTCAGCATGTGATTTTCCATATTCTGTAGCATCGTCAGCGATGTTGCGCTAGTCCAGGCAGTGGGGGGGTGTAAAGTTCTGTCTGGGGAATTTTGCTATCTGTTTTGAAAATTATTTGGAGGTTTTTTAATGCATTGTCTATTGTGTTACGGTTTTTATATAGATAAGGCACAACAGAGACTCTCTGAGGGAGTTGTGTTATCTTGGTAGCTTTCAAAAAAAGGTGGAATAGGTTGGGTGTATATTTTACAATTCTCTTACATGGCTTTTAGCATTGTGGTTTCTGGGAAAGGACGAATCTGTAGTTGTCCCAACACTGGTAACCAACAGGAATCTGTTAAAGCAGTGTCTCAAGTTTTTCAGGAAATACGGCACAGTTTTGCTCTGAACAATACGGTCCATTGCATGCATAAAGTTAAGGTCCATACAGGACTTTGATGGCATGGCAAACATATTTGTGTGTTCCCTGTTCATAGCTGTTACAAAATCGCAAACAGTGTGCGAAACATTGCTAAACGCTGGAGATCTTTCAGAGGAGTAAGGACTGAGGGAAATCTCAGAAAGTTACCTAGTCCATCTCCTTGCTCTGAGATTGGATCAAATCTGCCAAGACTGTAACTAACAAGTGTTTCTCTAACTCTTAAAAGCTTCCAACAAAAGGGATCCCGTGACCTTGTAAGCAGCGCGTACCACTGTTGAACTATGCAACTGGAGAGTTATCACAGCAAGAGTTTATCCCTGCGAGTTAAGTCAATTACTTGCTGTTCTTATTGGCAATAGATGTGATGAATAGTGCCCCCGTTTGAACAGTGCTATCATGTTCTCCTTCTAGTTTTCTCTTTTAAGTAAACCCAGTTAATTGAATCAGTCTTCATAGGTCACATCTTCTAAGTCTAGCGATTGTTGGTGCTCTTCTCTGGATCCTCTCCAGTTTGACTGTGCTCTTAAATCATATGGTCCAAAATGTAACCCAAAGTTCTGGCTGAGGCTAGTGCAGAGCAGCTGGAACAATTAACTTTGGCACTCACATACATTAGTACTATTAACGCACGCTGGAATTATATTTGCCTTTTTGCAACAGCATCACATTGAGTCGCATTCAGTTCCTAGTCTGCGAACACCCCAGATCCATTTCGGTACCACTAATAATCTTGATTTTGTGCCTATGTATTTAGTGTCTGCATACCTGTCTCTAATGGATCTCAGACCAAATCTGGTCAAGATACCAGCATTCTAGACCTCTCTCCTATGCTGTTTATAGTTCATCCAAATACGGTATCATGGGGAAGTCTTGCAGATGTCCTCTTTTAGCCTATAGTCTGAGTTCATGAACACACTGAATGGGCTAGATCCCAGGCAAAGCCTTGCAGCACCCTGCTTGAGTATCTCCCCAGGTTCCCAGTAAGCCTTTGGTAATTGCTCTTGGAGAGCATTTTGTACTGCTGTGAGTCTCCTTATGGTCAGTATGCGCTGGAGCCCCATATTTCACCTGTGAGGACTTCACAGAATGAGAATGTCAAAGGCCTTTACAGCAACAGGGAGATTTGGGATCCTGTGCGCCTGGGGCCACCAGGCCAGTTTTCACGAGGAAGGAAATAGATGGTAGAAGGGTACAGCATACTTTGTTCCTGACAAATCCATGTTGGCTGGCTGTTGCTGGGTTACATACGCGTTTACAAATAGGATTTTGTAAAAATTATTCTAGCCTTTTTCCAGGTTTGGGTTGACTGACAGAGTCCCCTGGGTTTTTTTAAATTCCTTGTGCTTGTCCCACTGCTCTCTTGGACTCTTTTCTGCGCTCTGTGAGTTCTCAAAGAGCAACACTCATGGTCCACACTGACGTGGCTGCTTGCTGGAGCATCCTAGGGTAATGGTAATCAGCTGTTGCCAACTTGAATAGCATCTGAGTCCCCTGAATACTTTGTCTTTCAACTTCTTAACATGCTTTGTTTAGTTAACTTTTGACTGAAGTCAAAAGTGCTGTTTGTTACTTATTTGTAAATCTTTCATTTTCTTTCCTTCCTCATCAAGTAATGTACCTA